AATGCTGCATCGAGAAACGCTCGTTGATAAGCCCTCTGATCTGCTCTCACTGCCAATCAAGAGTGCCACTTTCGTTGGGCTTTCATGTGCCTTGTGGTTCGTCATCCGCAGTCTAGCTCGACCCAGACACCTCGTCCTATCCATTACACTCTCTCAGAGCCTTTACCTGCGAGCCATAATTGCATAAAGCGAGTCTCTATTCCGTCCAATTGCATGGGACTTGGTCGCTGAATTAGTGAACTTTAGGCTAGTTCGTCATTTTATTGCCTAAAGACTGCATAGAAGATAAATATTCGTGTGCTTTCGTAATGTCGATATTAACACATGAAGCAACCTCTTTTATTGGTCTAGTATGAATAATATTTGTGAATTAATTTAGCGTTAAGGTTTGAAACAAAAACATAGTGTCACATTCAGCAAAATGGGACGAATGAAGAGGTTTTTTAAAAACCACTAAGAATATTAGAATTGCTTTTACGATAAAGAGTCAAACAAAACATTATCGCGGAAACATTCAACTGAAATTCTGTCAATTAATCTTGAAGACCACGCAAGTGAAAGGTATTGTGGACCACAGCCCATAATTCTAATGGGACTCTCGGCTGCAGCGGACGAGTTTGTTATCTATTTTGAAGGCGATGGCAATCAGCAAAGGGGGCTTGCCTCTGTCAAGCTCCTGCTCNGGGGGGGGGGGGGACGCAAGCCAACTTGTTTGGATTGTTTCGATGAATTTCGGTTTTGCTACTGAACAGTTCGTAAAGTTGAACTCAACCTCGCAGCATAGTTTCTCCATGTAATCTGTGAGGAAAAGAGCATGTGAGGAAAAGAACTAGAATAATCTAAAATAAAGTGACCAGAATATCAAAAAGAGCACGTGTAATCAAATTTGAAAATTAATCGAACCCATCAAAATCATTACATCTAGCCTTAAAAAATTGGTTCATTTTAGTACGCCGAGAAAGCAAGCCATAAATTGTTCATTTGAATGCATGCATATGAAGCAGTATTCGGAGCGTATAGATTTTCCGATTACGGCGCAACTGGAAAAAACGCAATATTTTTCGACCGACATATTTTGAAGCGATGTATGAAGCTGAGCCGCTAGAGCTGCAGTCGTTACTGCCGATCTCATTGTTTTGCACCAGATTTCATGAACGGTGCAATAGCGGTTTTATTGCCTAAAGGATCGCTCTGACTAGACGCCTGAATTGCTTTCTCAAAGCAGCAACGACGAAAAGTTTTAACCTGAAGAGCTTTATTCACGATAGGTTAAGAGGCATATACTCTTTGGCGAGTGCCCAACAGCTGTGAAATTTAAACAGAATTTTACTCACTTGCTACTAGTTAATCTCGGGGAATTTATTTGTAACATTTATTTTACAAATTAATTGTAATATTTTGTACCTACTGCGCATGACACCCAACCCGTCGCCAGCGACACTTACTCTCTGAAATATTCACAAGGAAAAATGTTCTTTTCAATATTCATTTTTTTTTCGTAAGGGATTCCAATGCTGTTCGATTGCTTGATCTCACTGATTTTAAACCAGTTTCGATGTTCACTAGTTACGGTTACCCAATTTTGTATCTAATGGATTAATACAAGTGTTTTCATACACCAAACTTTTAATTAATACAATTTAATCATTTCTAGGTATAAAAGATATATATTTTAAACGATCTACAAAAATTTCATGTAACATATTTCATTTTAAAAAAGAAACAATGTTTAAATTATTTATTTGGCCTATCCTCTTTGGGATTTTTGCTTTCCTAAAATACACGACCTAAAGTTACTGCACATCGTAGTGCACCTAACCCTGAATATGTTCATTATTTCACCTCTCTCGGTGTCAAAATATTATATGTGTTATTCTAAGACCATTTTGAAACCCAGTTTGCTTGAAAAATTTTTGGATCATAAGTATGAATTGCCATCATCTGGGCCAAAAATATCCATTATTTTTCTAATTTTTTTATTGAAATTTGATCAAAAAACAGAAAGATGGTGCCATTTGAAGTTGTTTTGAATACATTCATCACCATTTAACGCATCACTTATAAGTAAAGACCAATAGGTTCAAATCCTACTAATAGGGGACTTGTTGATGAGTGATAATGTGGGACTTGCGCAAGTAATTTGTTCAATTAAATAATGTATCCCGTTTAATGAAAAATTTGTACACACCTATCAGTGTTGAAAGTTTTTCGCGTTTTCGAGCTAAAAAAACGAGACTCCATCAAGGCAGGAGAAAATCTCAAGCTTCTGCAGGAAGTTCAACGAGGCTCCAAACTTTCCGGGAGCTCTACTGGCATTCTGCTCCAGGATGACACCGGGAGTTGCAGCCTCCGAGTTAAGGAGAGTTTCTTGTAAGTGATTCCTCAGTGAGATGCTTGGGCCTGGGCCCCGATGTCTGGACGAAACCAAAACACGTTTGCGGGGCCAGAAAAGTCGGTGTTTTCAGAGTATAGAAAAGCAAAGCTTGTGTCATAATCTGGTTACCAATCGATATTGGGTAACCTTATTTAAAGTTGAGAAAAGATGAAGAAATAATTTCGGTTGTTGTTGTTGGAAATGACGGGACCGTCAATTATGCCTTTGCGTAAGTGGGATCGAAATGTTGCACTATTCATATAGTCAAGTAGTTTGACCTCAATTATAGTTATAATGCCCTCAAGTACGAAAAGCATTGATTACGGTTAAATTATACATAAAAAACTTATGGTGAACTAAAAACATCAATAAATAAGAATGTTTGATAGGCCGTGAGCGGCAACAAAACCAGCAGACGGCGATGTTGCAGGCCAATGTCACGTGAATACGGAATAACAACGAGCATAAGTTGAGATCAAATAAAAATTTAGGTGAGTCACGATTGAAATGAGTCAATATTGAGATGAGTCAAGATTGAGATGAGTCAAGATTGAGATGAGTCAAGATTGAGATGAGTCAAGATTGAGATGAGTCAAGATTGAGACGAGTCAAGATNAAGATTGATTAACTTCAAAAGATTGATTGATTCAACGATTGATTATCTTCAACGCTTAGGTGCCTGGTTGCGCTTGCTGATGAAGATTCATAAGTTAAATTAAATACAATCTCAGTGTGAAACTAAACGATGCTGTTTTCTAATAAGTTTAGTTGTTGGAAAGAGTTGTTATTTCTGTTTTATATATAGCATAACGAAATTCTAATAAAACTTTAGCAGTCATCACCATTGAATAGGTCATGATCGAGGTGCCATTATATACTTATAAAGGGTAAGTTTTATTTGCAACATTAGGTTTCAACTGAAGAGCATGAGCCTTCACAGCAAAATCGCTGCAACAATTAATTTTCTACGCGATTGGCCTTTTTGCCGAAAGCGAACATTATAGTTGCATCAGTGCTTACGATTGTCCGATTGTTTCCAAAACTTGTCAATCAAAAAACTTAGGTTGATAACACTCAGAATGAATATGTATTCGTAATATTTTCGTGATAGTAGTTGATAATACTTTAATAATTCGGAGATAAATTACTAAGGAAATATTCCAGCGTAACATTTAACAATCCATGAATGTGAGAGCTCACAATTTTATAACTTGCATATAGCTGCGTTGCAAATGATGAAATTTATGACATTAAACATTTCTTTCAGAGTTTAAACTTAATTAGTAGAAATTTAGAAGCGAAGAAAACGTCAAGCAGCCTAGTGACAGTAAACTTGATTAGATCGTAAATTGCTCAAGAAAAATATATTGATTGCATCGAGTTCGTAGCTACGTCCATATTGATTTTTAATAAAAAAAAGTGAATTGAGTAGAAACATTTGTTCACTCTTCTTCTTTGTTAAATGCTGATCAAATTGTTGCAAGGCGTTTACTCATCAGCCATTAATTCAATTGAGCTTTTTATTTTCTGTGAATAATGCCTGTAGATGAGAACGGTTACAGTATCAATTGAAATTTGTATGTCAGATTTTACAACTGGCAGAAATAAGTTCAGATTTTACAACTGGCAGAAATAAGTTGAACAGAATTAAGAAATAAAATACTGAATTTACATAATACTGCGAATACTTCGAATCCTCTCGCTCTAAAAGTGTATATTTAGTCTAGCAAAATATCTAACATTGCAGCGAAATAATTAAACCGTCTCCGAAATATAATTTTTCATTTATTTCCACCAATTTCACTAACATATTTTCATCCATCCTTTTATTCAAAGTTGTCGTTAGCAAGCGTTTTCCATTAAATAATTCTATGATAACGAGATATAAGCACATAATCAGTAGAGGAATACATTCGTTATAAAATTAGACAATATTAAGTGAAGTAATTTTTAAAATTGTCGATTTTTTCGCATAGAGCTCAATACATAATAAGAAAGATGCATCAATCCTAATTATCTGGAACACATCCTTCCAGAAAATTTTTCGTCAATGTTTGTTTATTCCTTTTTATTTTTTGAAAGGCGCTTTGGGATTGAGGCTGCATACTCAGTAAGGACTTTGCAGTCTCAACTTATCTGCTAATCATCGAGAATTTTTCACGTAGATCCCACCAATCATAATTGTAGAATCCGAACACTAGACCAGTTTGACGATAACGATCACAGTGTTTTCCGACCCCTGATATATTTTCCGAGCTTCCTATGGCATTTCTCGTCAGGATCATCTACAATCCGCCTCCTACACATTAAGTCAGATAAGTATCAAGAAGAAAATCATTGCATGGAAGCTTTTCATGATACTTCTAAGGTAGTTACACATCTCCTTTCCAACAAGTTAAGAAGCCAACTTATGTAGATGCGTTCTTTCAAACGCCAATGATTTTTGCATAGTTGTTAAATGCATTTCTATCCTGAATTATTTCGGAATATGGAAAGATCATTCTCTCCACTGATGAAACTCCTTTTATCCAATGCAATAGTCTATGTAGTTCCATTTCACACTCTTCAATTATCAAATAACGCTTAAAATAATAAGGGATATTGATAACCATTTCAAATTTAAGTTTTATTTGAAAGGTTGCTTCATTATACACCGTAGGAGCTGTCTCTTATACACATCTAGATGTGTATAAGAGACAGGAGGTGAACGATCCAAGTAATTGAAATTGAGGCTGCATTTCAGGGATTTTTCAAGAACTATCAGTCTGTCGTCATCGGTTAAAAATGGCCTGAAGACTCTTCGGTATTTCTTCCATCCACTGTTTAACGTGTTAACCAACTGGCCACGACTGCCAAGAGTCAAAGTCGAATAGTGATCATGTTCGATGGAACTGCCGTGTGACGTGCGCCTGTAGACCGCATTAACAGTATCGGCATCGTTCCACGTCTTGCTTAATAACGATGGCTGTAATGGATTTGGAGATAAATACATTTCATCATTGCGAGCCGTTTTTAGCGGGAAGTGCTTTTGTTTGCACTTGAAGTACAGTTTATGCTCGTCACGATCGAGATAATCAGTCACAGGCCAGCGCGTTTGTAAGTCCTCATCTTCAAAATGTATAAAGAATTTCTGGCCATTAGCGATCACGACAACGTGATCCCGCAATTGAAAGTTTGGTTGATTGATGACATGGACTTCGCCATGAATATACACAACGATCGCCAGGAAATTCACATCGTGATTCAACTGAACAGGGCTCGAACCACTTCCAACTTGGATATCATAACTATCACCTTTAATCCAAATTTCTACTTTTGGATAGGAAGCATAATCTTCTACGCAGAAGGGAAAACATCTATTCGAAACAAAAAATAAAATAAGAATATCGTGTTCCTCGCTGATAGGCGGATGATGAATGGTGAACGGTACTTGATCGAGATCTCCTGAAATTTTCGCAAACCCGCCACTAATCCGACGCCTGCAGGCCTCGCAAGCAGCATGCCGACTGGCAGGAACAGCATTGCGCTTCGTTTCAACAGAAGAAAGAAGCAAATTATCCAACTGTTTCATCGGCCCTTCGAAAAAATATTGTTTTGGAAAAGAATTTCTGTACCGTTTTGAGTATAGAAAGTCAACTTCTCTAATGAAAATTGTAGGAATACTTTCGAATTTGGCTGCGACAACGAAGGTCAAATCAATGAAGCCCAGTGAAATTTCATATGTTCTTTTCTGTCCAAAATATATAGGTATTTCAAAAGATACTTCGAAGCAATTTCTCCCACCAGCCTCACTATTAGCCGCACCTAGCCTATTTATCGCAAAAAGAACAGAGTCATTATTTCCTGAGGCGTTTGATGAGCTTGAAGGGAAAACGTTGTCACCGAGTGAGTAGTACGTTGAATTGGACGCCCGTAAGCAATGTGCAGGAAGTACTTGCTCGCTCTTCATCAGGGAAGCCAACGGTACTCCCATTGTAGAAGATCCGATGTGTTCCTGCTGCACGGGAAATCTTGGGCTCCTGAACCCTGAAGTTATTGCTCTCTGACGATCCCTACTTTCATATTCCAAAGAATAGAGCTGATTGGTGTCATCAGTTACCTTTTGTGAATAACTCCTCGATTTCTTCAAGGGAGATCTAAATGCAGATCTAACTTCAGTTTTAGTTTGCACGAATTCCATACATTTTGGTTTAATTGAAGTCAACCTTGTATTCTGGGGTATGGAACCATCCAGATATGGTTCTTGGTATGCTGTTGGTTCTTGATAGTGCGGCATTCTCTGCTCTTGAAACCAGTGTGGACCAGCTGGTTCAGTAACTCTTGAGCAGCTTGGCTGTAAACTTGACGTACTTTGGGTTGGTTCGAGTGTAGGAACATGAGGAATAGACTGGTTCACTACTGGATTGGACGTAAAGTAAATTTCATCTTTCGTTTTCGATGCAGCCTCTGCCTGAATGCCACTGATTAAAAAATTGCTTAACCGCTCCGATGTGCTGCCAAAATATGTACCTAGTTGATCAAAAGTTTGAGAGTCTCCAATTGCAAGCGTTCTACGTTCTACTTCTGTTGGTGGAACTGGGCTTTGATTTTCAGAAACTGGATCGACACATGTACCACCAGGCGGCGATGACGTAGTGTCCAACTCATTGTCAAGGTTTTGATTGTTTGTCTCCATTATATTTCGATGTCAAATAAATAGAGACTTAGAGACTAAGCAATTAACTGTCTTGTGGCAAGCAGACCTAAATTTCTGTAATTAGTTTTCTTCTCACTGCCACGTCAAATCCAAATACCAATGATACGAACCTTGCAAAAAAATTACTTGGACCTGGGGAAAAACAATGTGAGCAAATCAGAGGACCAATTTCAGTTTCAAATACCTTACCTCGGATATAGATTAATTCACATGTCACTATTAAGGTAAGGCCGCAGATTAATTCACATGTCACTATTAAGGTAAGGTCACAAGTCAATTGACATCGCATATGTTACTGAAGGTGCAACATGGGGCAAACTCGATTAATCGGAAAATAGAAAAAAAATAAATGTATTCGACTCAAATAAGTACGTCGACAGTTGTCCATATTGCTATAAGACATCTCCCTTGCAAACAATTAGCATTGAAAATAAACAGCAAATGACTGCTCATACCTAATATGTTTCTTCACCAGCAATGAGGTTTAGGTTTTGCCGAGGTAGCAATAGCACTAACGAGTGACTATCCAGAAAAAACTAAATTTAGTTATGCAAAAAAAAAAAAAAATTCTAAATTGTGCAATTATCACCTTATTGCACAGGACTGGCGAGACTCCTCTATTTATTGCATTTATTATTGATTAATTCTGTCAAATCACATATATAAATAACTATCAATATTTCAAAACCAAGACAAAATTTGGCATATCAACTCGTAAACTGAAAATTTACCATATCAGACGATAGAAAGATTTGAAATTCTGCGGACAGTTCGTGCGGACAGTTCGCATGATGGTTTGTCACAAATTTCGGAGCCAGCATCGACGATGTTTTTCATATATCGACTAAAACTTAACGACTAATGTAAATACCGTAAATAAATGATGTAATGTAAATAAATTAGATTAGACCAACTAAAATTCAGATTTTAGATATTAAAACAATAATTGCCAAATGAAAACGAGTAAGAAGGAGGTAAACATGAGCAGACAAACCTATCAAATAAGTACGTCGACAGTTGTCCATATTGCTATAAGACATCTCCCTTGCAAACAATTAGCATTGAAAATAAACAGCAAATGACTGCTCATACTTACTATATGTTTCTTCACCAGCAATGAGGTTTAGGTTTTGCCGAGTTAGCAATAGCACTAACGAGTGACTATCCCGAAAAACTAAATTTAGTTATGTAAAAAAATATTCTAAATTGTGCAATTAACACCTTATTGCACAGGACTGGCGAGACTTCTCTGTTTATTGCATTTATTATTGATCAATGCTGCCAAATCACAAATGTAAATAACTATCAATATTTCCAAACCAAGACAAAACTTGGCATATCAACTCGTTAACTGAAAATTTACCATATCGGACGATAGAAAGATTTGAAATTCTCAGCAAGTGCGGACAGTTCGCACGATGGTATGTCACAAATTTCGGAGTCAGCATCGACAATGTTTTTCATATATTGACTAGAACTAATACGACTAATGTGAATATCGATATAATACATGAGATTAGACCAACTAAAATTCAGATTTTAGATATTAAAACATAAATTGCCAAATGAAAACGAATAAGAAGGAGGTAAACATGAGCAGACAAACCTATCTATATGCAATTTCGAGAAGATATGAACTGTAAGCGGCAATTACTAGGCTTTTGTATACAGGGATTCTAAAATTCGCCGGTCAGAAAAACAGGTTATGGAGGCTAAAAATATAAAATCACCGGAGGTTGCAATGCTCGGCATGAACGCGTACTACTGAATGAAGGGGGTGCGCTTGCAAGTTTCCTCTTCTAAACTCCTTTCTCTAACCTCTGCCAGGCTAGTAATAAAAATGTGACGTCATACCGACTTACGCAGTTGCGCATTGCGCATAAATTTATTGATAAACTAAGGACGATCGCATAAGAACAGGATGTGAATCTTAATACATGACTACTTGAAAAAAGAACTGATTTTAAAATTATTCACCAGTAATCAATGAAGATGTACATTTGGGAGGCATTTAGCAAACTAAACTTTCAACTCCTTAGCCATAGCCTCCGAAAAGGGACCAAAGTAAGGATATGAACAATAAACAGCATTCCTATTTTCAGGTACGGGAACAACCTCAGAATATTGCTTAGACAAAAATTCCTTCATTTGAGTATATACCCACTGCGACGGAAACCCAGGAATTGAAAAGGTACTGCGAAAAATTCGAATCCGGAGAGCATAGCATGGAAAGTAGAGCAAATACGAAAGCCGCGGTAAATTGACGTTTGATTCCCATTTAATTTGAAACGAAAAGAACAAAAGATAAAAAAAACTGGTGCTTAAGCCGGTAAACGTCGATTTTTGGTTAACAGATGTCTGAAAACGGCCGTTTGATTTCGTAACATTACAATCAAAAAAAGATGAACTATTCTTGGGTTCAAGCTCCATGTTAAATTTGATGGACTTGTGTTGGAGATAAAGATAATCAAAGAAAAGACCTACATATGAGAGGGATGCTTGAAAATTGAAAGAATGTCATCGATATATCGATTTTAGAAATGGCTAAAAATCAGTAGGACAATTGGCCAGCAATGTAGTCTATAATATGTTCAATGTGAATTTTAGTTTGCTAATTGCTTGTACTTGTACTTGGTTTTTAGGTTTTTGAACTGACGAAGGAGCTGGAATCCGAAACATTTTCTCTGATAGAAAGTGGTGAATTTTCTGGCTGTTTTCTATGCTCTTAAACTCGTGACAAACTTGGAATTTAAGCAATCAAGTGATCATAATGAGATTGGACGAAGCGGGTCCATGCACAGGGGCAGGTTGTAAATAAAGATGGAACTTAGACGAAAATATCCATCAATTTGATCAGTATTGTTTGGTCATTGCAATGCAAAGTGGCTACCGGTATAGTAACTATCTTACTAATATTAATATTCTTTGGCTCAGACCCACACAACACGTACAAAATTTCTTTCATGTCAATATTTTATGCGTACTGGATTGTATTTCAAACTTTTTATTCATACGCTGAAGTCTACGCCGAAACTAAATTCAAAAGAATATACATTTCAACAGGTATCGGCAATGACAAAGCTAACCAAAACCAATGGTATTGAAAATTCATTAGAATTTGAATTTGGTATCTATAAAAATACCATCCATCCTGATATCTCCATTGTATACATAAAAAATAGCCCTACCAACAGAATACTACATGGCTAGACAAGGTTTAGTTTACGTTGGGTTAGGTTATGTTTCCGCATTTCGGGCGTACGTAGCTTGCCTTGACTAAACTTAGCTTCTGAGTGAATTGATGCATTAGTTAATAATAGTATTCTTAGTTAGTGCCATCCACATATGCGTTATTTCAGAATAGCGTAAATATTCTTCCACATATTTATCTTACTTCATCTCTTTTTTCCACACTCTTAAAACTTCTATTAAACAACGTTCACACTAGTAATAAGTCACCCAAACACCGACAAATATTCAAAAAGACATAACAAAATTATTCTCGACCATAATATTCGTATCATCAGCGGGTTTTAGTAGCAGAAATACCTGAACACAATTTTTATAGACTTGAAACACACCCACGTCTGGATGACTTGCACTATGCCTGCCGTGTGGTCACTTCAAGGCACTTCTGCTGCCATTAAGACTGGGGCTATACACAAGTCAATAGTAGTCCGGGAAGAAGAAACAGTATCCCTTGAAATTTATTTCAATTTGAGATCGAAGATGGCACGCCATAAACTCCAACAAAAATCTTGTTTAATTTTACAGCTAAGATAA